AACTGTGGTGGTGTCACACTAGCTAAAACTTCTCGCTGATGCACTGCTCTTCAAGAGACTTATTGATTCCGAGGACGCAACACATGTGGTGTAGCAATTAATATACTCAGGAATTCAAACATATGTTTGGTAGGATTAGCGCTCTAAAGGTTTAGCAACTATCCGCCAGACAAGAACGATGCTCGACTGGATTAAAATTTATATCTGTCACCTAGCTTATAATGCCCAACAGTTGACGCGTGCTAGGAGAATTTACATCGTATAATTCTGATTGATGAGGGCATACAATAGTCCCTATGTCGAATTTACACTAATCTTTCTAAGCGCATTACTACTACGCCCTGCATATAGACATACGAAATCTATGTAGAAGTTTTTACTTTGTGAATTTAAAAACAGCGACAACAGTTTTATTCCATCCAAACAGCAATATTGACAACGAAGAGTTGCACGTCTAATTTCTTCTATCCCTGCCAGCCTTCTCGTCCAGTTTTCCTTTCAAGCTATCTCCTCCAATGATACCATTAAAATACGCTGGATGTGGTATAGCAGAAGCGCACTTTTGAATCCAAGCGGGAGCGGAATCTCCTTTCCCAGGCACTGAACGCTTGAGCTCACAAAAGGCAGCATTACGCTGAGTTTATTTCTTTTCCAGCTTCGCCTTCAGGGGCAAACTTATAGTGGTAGTCAGAGGTGGTACCTGCCTCTGCCTAAAATACACTATACAAAAGATACAAAATAACAATTTCAAACCAAGGGGTGATATAAATAATTGGACTTACATTGCAATCTCCTTCCGAGTATCCCCGATCATAGATTTCCACCTCCACAATTGCTGTGAAACCCGGTCGAATCCGGATCCAGGTTCGTTTTATTTCTACTCTCACTAACTGCGAGAAAATTCTTTCCTCACACAACAACTGTTCCTCCAACATCGAAACATCCGCGTCTTTTCAAGGATCGGTAGGAACTTCCGAAGAGTGAAGAAATCTTCACTCATCTCCGTCACTTCCTTAAACTTATAAGTTAATATTTCTAATGAATACGATAGATTTTTTATACTTAGTCAACTCATGTGAGATAATTGTAAACTTCAAAAACTCAAATTGGACATTTCTATATTCTTCCGACCAGAAACTGTTTTTCGTAGTTCTCTTTTTCTCTCTTCAATCTGTAATCCACTCCCATGATAACATCCAATGATGACAAAT